CCAACGAGTGGCAGATTTGGATGGAGTCTCGCTCATAGAGGAAGAGCCGCACATCCAATTCCGATCAACAACTTGGAGGTATGGCTGAGTGGCTTAAGGCATTGGTTTGCTAAATCGACATACAAGAAGATTGTATCATGGGTTCGAATCCCATTTCCTCCGGCACGGAAGTGGAACGGGCGGGCGAAATTACGTGAGAGAAAGAACCTCTTGGTGTGTGTTGGTGGAGTCCCCCGGAGGACAGAAAAGCACTACTTAGTGAGCGGAGAGCCCGTTGCGCGTTGTTTTGACCGGCCTATCTTCTTTTTATAAGCAAGCTCCCTCCGGCAGTCCCTGGGCGGCTCTCGGTTCTTGAGCATGTTGGGAGAGGAGATTAGGCGGCAGTTGAAAGAGCTGCTCGAAAGCTTGACGAACGAAAAAAGCCCTTTCTTTTAAGTTATTAGTAAAGGGCTTTTCCCTTACTAGTCAAGTGGTAAGTAAGGTAGGGCGCTATTCGATGAAGAAAACATACTTTAGGAAAGTGGTTCAGGTAGCTCAGCTGGTTAGAGCAAAGGACTGAAAATCCTTGTGTCAGTGGTTCGAATCCACTTCTAAGCGGGCTTTGGGTCCAAAGGACAGGTAGCCGGGAGCGAGCCTCCTTTTTTTTAATTCAAGTGAAAGAGGAAGCAAAAAAAAAATGTGAGCGCTCCTGCACTATACGGCTTTTTGGCGTCGCCCTATCTTGCTGGAGGCAGATTTTCTTAAAAAAGCGGTTGATTACTCGGATTGGTTCTCGCGTCCCTATGCCCAAAAGGATGGGCGAGTTCGGTTCGAGTCTTCATCGATCGGGTGGATCTATATGCTGAGGGGGGTGAGACGAGGTGTAGCGCAGTCTGGTCAGCGCATCTGTTTTGGGTACAGAGGGCCATAGGTTCGAATCCTGTCACCTTGATGTGAAGGGCTGAAGTGAAGTGCACAGCCTAAAGAGCACCCATCCACCCGTAAACTTTCGCTCTTTTAGAAAGAGAAAAAAATAGACCGCCCTTGATCTGGGCGGGATCTAAAGCAGCATTTCTTCCAAATGTTTCGGGGGCAAGCCTTAGGTTCCATTCTTTCTTGCCTATAGTCATCTTACCTTCTTCTTAGGAGTGAAACTGCATTTCAGTAGTATCTAATTCACGTAAGAAAAGAGAATCAGTCTGCATGCTTAACAGCCTTCCTTGTCTGAATCCCTTTGTAAATGTAAAAAAAAGGAGGCTCCCTCATGAAGCTAGGATTGAAGAAGCTGGTTCGATAGGACCAGGAGGAGTCTTTTTATTAAAAACCAATAGAGGTGGCCCATATGGATTAGTCCTTGCCCTTTTTCTTTACTTATCATCAGCGAAATGATAATCCTAAGCCAGCTATTAAAACACATCACTTACGATACAAGTAAATCAGACTCATAAGCCATTGATTACACCATAGCAGGATCTTGGCAAGGATCTCAACCCGGTGGGAATCCAATAGAGTGAAGCTGGACACAAACTTACGGAGCAGTGTACATAACAATTCCAGAGGGAGTCCTCTGTATTATGACTGGTATGTGCAGTATTGTATTACTGTTATGAGACTTTTTATCGGTAAACCTTTCCGTTTAAATAGTAGGAGAAGAAAGCAATCTTGCAAGGGAAAACACATCCATCTTTTCTCTCTATTAACATTAACGTTGGCCCTATCCCTCTTAGACTGGCTTAGGATTATCATTCCTTAAAAATCCACTCCGGCTGTATTAAGGGACTGCGCTTGAAAGGGGAAAACTCCTTTTTTTAAAGGCTTGAAAACGAGCTGGCATAGACCGGTGGTGCAAGGCCTTCGATCTAAAGGTCTTAGAAAGTGAAATTCTACAAGTAAAGGAGGGGCTCTTATTGAAACCTAGGTTGGCAGTTCCCTAGCCCCCCGCCCTCCGCGATGAAGGAAGCACTCCATTTTCCCGTGATGCGAATAGCTGGAACTGGATCGAGTGGAAAAGCATCTGTTATCAATTGGGGCATGAAGGCTATTTTGCCCGTAGAAAAAAACTACCCAATGCTAACCGTAGAGAATTTCTTCATCTCATTCTATGAGTCGGAAGTCACCAACCATAACTCTTAACTCACACATAATACATTGATCATCTCACTTCCACCAGCGATGGGCATAACAAACCATCACATCACATTGACAACAATGAGGTAATACAGTGGAAATGGAAAAGAACTTTGATTCTGAATGGATTTTGGTTGGATGGGACGTTTTTATCCCTTTTACAAGTGATAAAGTATGCTTCCACTTTCTATGGAGAACATATTTTGGAGACTAAAATAGTATGCCGTGCTTCTGCTCCGGATGGACTTTAGGCCTCAACATAAAATAAATTCCTTATCTTATAGAGTCTTTTTCCGTTCATGACCCAATCCAACTCGGATCAGTTGGCAAATCGAATCCCACGGGTACTTTACTAAAAAAAGGATCCCTAAAATCATACTTTACAAGGAAGGCTAGCTTCTCGAACCAGACCAGAATCTTTTAAGCTCTATGGGCAGACTTACTCTAGGTACACAGAAAGACCAAGCTAAGCCAATCTCACGTCGAAACAGGGAAATTCTAGCCCTTGAAAGCAGCCCACTTCGGAGTCTCTCACAGGAGAAGGACTGACCTTTTATCTCATTCCTATCGAGAAGACTAAGTCAGGGCGAGCTCTTACTTAGAGAGAGTTAGTTGGGTAGGGTCAATAGCTCGAAGATCAAGAAATCCTGAGTAAGGAGAGAGATTCTCCACACGAACGAACGGGTTAGAACTCACATTGGTGAATCGGACCTACACCTATCTTACACCAACAAGGAGTCGCTTTTGTTACGCAGTTCGAAAGCTTAAGCCTTCCTACATCTGCGGGCCCACCGGTTTAAAGAGTCCTCTATCCGGACTCCCCCTAGACCTCTCTCTGGCCTAGGGAACGTCTCTAAGCTCGAGAGCTCCTGTCTCCTCACTTAAAGCGTAACCGGCTCACCTCTCCCCGGAAACAAGCCAAACCAAAGCAAACTAACGACGATAAAGTCTCATGGTACGTCCGCTAGTCCCTTTGATTGGATTCCCAATCGTGCACGGCGATAATAAATTCGTAGGCCGCCTTTTGCCCCGAATGAATTTACATTTACCAAGGAATCACGGTTTGTGGAAAGCTCCTCCAGAACCTTCGCTATTTTCAGGCGTTTTTCCGGGGCTTCCCCTTATTTATGCCTTTTGCTGCTCCACAATGCTCTCTCCAATACGAAAGTGAAAGAAGCCCCCTTAGGGGAATGCATCTTCCTATCCTTGATGGAGGGCGGACTCGACTTCATGTCCAATTAATTTGATCCTTGCAAGCAGTCCCATTCTTGTTATCGTAAGCTTTCTTGTGGTAAGCGGCTTTTCCTTTAGTTCTTTTGTGCTCGCCTTACCTTATTTTTGCATCTTTCTCTTTTTCGTAAGCCTTGATGAAACCGTAGCGAATGCTACAATAGCTTCGCCTTAAAGTCATCCAAGCGGATATAGGTTGTGCTATTAGTGATTGTGGTGACGAAAGCGGTGGTAATCCGGCTAAGGCATAAAGAAAAAGATCCTTGTGTGAGACCACAGAATTGATTGCAATGAGAGCTTACTTGAGTGTGCATACATAAGTATGTGGCCATGGGCTGATTGCCCTTTTTTAAGTTAAGGTCTGAAGTGGAAGCTTTCGAGCCCCTAAAAATAGCCCACCCAGATAATTAAAACCATCAAAAAGTCTAAGCCCATATAGCCGATGGCCTGCCCAAATGATGTTCAGCGGTCTCTACCCAAAGGAACTCTTTCTACCCGCACTACCTAGACCCACAGTTCACTCACCTGAAGCCGTCGATTTTTACCGTGGAGTCAACGGAGAAAACGGTTTCGTATAATGAAACTGTTCGTCCATATGAAATTATTCCAATTCTTTTTGTTGGCGGAAGCGAATCCACAAATGCATGCAGAGAACTCTGCAAATGCTGGAGGTGTGGCTCACCTAAACGTTCAGAAATTACAAGAACAATAGGAACAGACATTCTTGAATCAGAAACTGGAACAAAAGCAGGTCTTCTGTTCCCCGTTTTGACATAATCAACTGACGAAAGCGTGGTCAGATCGGGATTTCGATTTTGAACAGACCATCAAGACGCTAAGCTGGCAAAAGAGCTTTGAGACTGAGTCCTTCCCGCCCGAGGATAGAATGTGAATCAATAATGAATGCGCCTAGGAACTACGATTCTGAAGAGGCGTAGTTCCCCTCTTTCGTTTGCTTCCGGTTCATGGAAGATGGGGTAAGGCTCGGGCAAGGACAAGTGAAGGAAGCGCAGCAACGATGACTGATTTTCTGAGACTTTCGCGCAAAAACAGAGATAAGAAAAGAAGAAAAAAAACAAAAACCAACCCAAAGAAATATTCCACGTCTTCCCCCTCAAAGAATTGAAAGACTGGTAGAGAGAGTTCACAAGTTGTTGTGGAAGAAAGAAAGACCATTCTTATACTCGATACTTCCCTCCATTATTCTAGTCCTCACCTGCTCTCAAAATTGGCATTTCTTTCGGATATAAGAATAAATTAACATATTGAAAAAAAGAATAGAGAAATGGGGCGTATTCCATGCTGTGAGAAGGACAACGTGAAAAGAGGACAGTGGACACCTGAGGAAGATAACAAGCTCTCCTCCTACATTGCTCAACATGGCACTCGCAACTGGCGTCTCATCCCCAAGAATGCTGGTTAGTCCCTCTCTGTCTATATCTATATTATTTATATCAATGTCAATAAAACAAACTTTTATACTTGATTTTGCTGATGAAATAGGCCTCCAGAGATGTGGAAAGAGCTGCAGGCTAAGGTGGACTAATTACCTTCGTCCTGATTTTAAACATGGTCAATTCTCGGATTCAGAAGAGCAAACCATTGTGAAGCTTCATTCAGTTTTTGGTAACAGGTATGTTAAATGTTAACCATACATTGAAGTTATTGTTATTTATAGCGTAGGGAATTCTCTTTATCACATTGTTCCCTTAAATGCTTACTTAAACGGATGTTCAGATGGTCACTGATAGCAGCCCAGCTGCCAGGACGCACTGACAATGATGTCAAAAACCACTGGAACACCAAGCTGAAAAAGAAACTGTCAGGCATGGGTATAGACCCTGTCACCCACAAGCCATTCTCCCATCTAATGGCTGAAATTGCTACAACATTGGCACCCCCACAGGCAGCTCACCTAGCTGAAGCAGCCAAGGGCTGCTTCAAAGATGAGGTGCTCCACCTTCTTACCAAGAAGCCAATTAACTTCCAGGGCCAACATTCCACTGCAGCACTGGGAAATAACATCACCAATTACATTAACTGTAAGCCAGAAGAAAAGGACGACACTGTTGAGAAGATTTAGCTTGACCTATTTTGATAGATCCTTGTCAGAAGCCCCTATCTTATAGGACTCAAAATGATTTCTCTCAAAATCAAGTAACAGTCGTTTGTTTTAGTTGTTCAGTAGTAAACTGGAATTCAACAACAAGATGGGGGGCTTTAGCCGAAACTTGTCTGTAAACTGGTAGTTCTTGTTCGCAAGCAAGCGGGCGGGTTTTGAGTTGGATGTTCGAGCAAGCGTAGCCTTCAGTGCTCTACGATCTTCGTTCTATTCTACGGCTACTTGAAATCGTTAGGTTAGTCTCGGGTATCTTGTTAACGTTACTGCGCTTTAACGACACCGTAGTGGCGGTTTTAAAGATAGGATAGCGAGGCATGGAAGCTATCTGCTATGCTATTAGAGGATTTATACTGTAAACACACAACGTCCATCCTGTTGGCTGTAGTTTTAGCTTGTATATGTGAGAAATGAATCAGAAAAAAAAGGATATTTAAAAAAGAATTCAAATCATAAATTTTTCTGCACAAAACAGTGAAAGAGAATGAACTAGAACAAAGCAGATTTTTTTCATTCTAGCACTACAAGCTTGTACATGGGAGTACATCCAATGGGAAGCTTACACACACATAGCCCAGCCACACAACTAAACACAACATAGAAATAGAAAACAGCAGAGTCCTCTGGAGGTCGTCCAAAGACCGAATCTGGTCTCGGGTATTTTGCATGTTGCCACCCGCTCCAGGATTGATGGGCCGAAGATGTCCCCCTCAGAACAGCACTTTTTATTCTTTAATTAATAGCAGAAGTACAATAGGAGTCTATCTCCAGTAAGCATCCAGAGTAGATCTCAACTAAAAAAGAGTCGCCGGTTTGTTTTCTTGGCAGGTTATCCTCACGATAAGGTCCCGCTGCTCCTAACTAAAAAAGAGTCGCCGGTTTGTTTTCTTGGCAGGTTATCCTCACGATAAGTTCCCGCTGCTCCTGCTGTAGTTTCCGCTGTTCCTTCCGGAAGCCGGAGAGTTCCTCTTCAAGTTGCTGGATTTTTTTTCTGTCTTTTTCAATTTTTTCTTGAAAATGGTTGAAAGAAAGACCCCTCTGGCAATTATCTAACAAAAGTGGAGTAGTTTTTTCTAAATAAAATGAAGTCGTTTTAAGGGCAGATTCTAACCCTTGTATTTCAAGGTCAATAATAAAAAGTTGATGGTCAATTTCAAAAAGTCGACCGGAATCGGAATTTTGGATTGCAAGAGGGAGGGCCATAGCTTTTCGATAGAAACAGGTAGAAAACTTATGTTTTTTTGTTTTTGTAAGAGCACAAAAGCTTATCAAATCAAGCCTCTATTTATACAGAGTGGTGGTATAGGAATCTCGCCATGTGTCACGAATTGAATGGAAAGTCTAATTCCGACTAGCTGGCCACCCCACTTTCCGGCGGTTGAATACTTGAATTCCTATTTAGTGAAAGAAACTGGCTGCCCCTCAGGATCTTTCTCTGCAAGAAATAAATCCCTGCTCTGGCTGTGTGCCTGTGTGAATAGACCGAACGTCTCACCAGCTTCAGCGAGTTTTTCTACTTAAAGTATTCAGCTAAAGCAAAGAAAAAAAGAACATATTCGTGCCGATTTTGGGCTCTGCTTGAAGATATTGCTGAGCACCAAAGCAAAGTACACACGTGATTCTGCTTTGGCAGAAGTGAAATATAGTGATCTTATGAGTTTAACTGGTAATTGAATTGTTTCACACTATCAGTTCAATATCTAGTCAAGTACCCAGGGAATGAAGCTTTCATTCTGATTATAGTTTCTTTTTTTCTATGGGTCACGAACCGGTCTTGGACGAATAAGGGCTGCAAGTCTGTGAGGACTAGGAGCTGCGATTGCTTCTGTTGAAGAAGTTGAATTGGCTTTGTCCTCTTTCTTCGTAATTTTTTGGTCTCGGCCTAAGGACTGCGCCAATCTCGATTCAAGTCGAACTATTGAAACCATTTTTCAAGAGTAGCGTAACACTTTACCTTCCTTTTACCACTCTGTGGTACTGCTTTTGCTTTGTTCGTAAATAAGAGAAAGCAGCTTCTATTTATAGACGTGGGAAGCTCTAAGCGAAAAAAAAAGAGTCTTTCGTTTTTCGCGGGTATCGCCACGTGGCTTAATCCCGAAAACTCTTTCAGGAATAGAACACAATAATATAGCGCACATCAGAGAAGAGAGTACCCCCCTTTATAATATAATAAGAGAGGCCCCCTGCGTCCTTTCTTCATAGATGGAGCAATCCTCACTCGACAGCAGCTCCGTCCTAGCGTAGGCGATTGAAGTAAAGCCTCTGCCTCTATCGCTTGATTGAAAGGATCAGACACTTTCCCCTACTTTTGACAGCAGAACGAATTAGATTATTATTATAAGTAAGGTAAACTTGCTTTTGCCGATTGCACTCGGATAGCGGCCTGGGCCGTCCTGGAATGGGAATAAAATGAATTAGATGGACTGGACTTCGATGGGCTTTGTTTGGAAAGCCAGGAAAAGGTGGCATTTCCGGGCCAGGGCTGAAAATGGATCTGAATGCTAACATTGGGCTAACCTTCACTCCAATAGAATGGGGAAACGAGCAGAAGCATATTTTGTCTGCCATCCCTCAGGGCAAATCCGTGTTCATCACAGGCTCTGCTGGGACTGGTAAAACCCTATTGCTTGAGGCAATTAAAAAATGACTGAAAAAATGACCAATATGTGGTTTCGTCATACAATAAGATCCAATTTGTTTGGACTCGTTCCGTTTGGCCCATTACCTTGAGTGAGGCCGAACGTGTATACCTTTTGTTATGAAGATGTGATCTTATCGGGCTTGTTCTAAGCCCAACCCTCTCGTCTTAGGGTAGGATATCTAGAAACCTTAAATCACGGGAACTTCCCCTTTTTGGTGGGCAACCTATGTTGGGCTGACTAAGCCCACTATCCTACCTAATAGCGTCCCATCTTGTGTCGGGTTAAGGGCGCTTAGTGGAACCCAATTTCTTCGCTTGTAGTCTAGGGCTTTGCTTTGCATTGGGCTTCGATATAGCTTGCTTTCCTGGTTTTGGATTAAACCTCTGCTCTCCTAATTCAGTCTATAGGCTTTGGTTTAGGTTAAATCTTATATATAAGTTTAGCTTAGGTCCATCAATCTCTCATAAACCCCTAAGCGGAATCTATTAAGCTGAATCCATATGGGGCCTTGCATTAGGCCCTAAATTCCTTGTAACGCTCTAAGAGGGTAGTGAGGCTTAGATTCAAGAGAGTTCAACCTGCATTGGGCTTTAGTTACTTCGTCTGGCCTCTTTTCAATAGTAAGAAGCCAAGTTCAAAGAATCGAAAATAGGATGGGTCTTTGAATAACTCTAAATAAGAAGCATCACATCAAAAATAAAGGGAATTCCTGCGGGATATCAATCTCGTTCACATTCATCCATTTGAATGTATTTCATAACCTGCCATTGTATCGCTTTCAAGGTAAACGGACCAACCTCTCGAAATCCAAACTAAGGAAAGCATGGGCCTCTCTCTCTCTCAATCGGTTGAATTGGTAACGGCATTGGCTATTGGCCATCCGTCCACAAATCATCTGAAAAAGTGGGTAGATTCCCCCGCCAGATGTTTAATCACTTGTTCAATCCTTTCTTGAAAGAGATGCTCATCTGCTCTGGTTAGCTCGGTAGAGTGGCAGGCGAAATCCGTCTCTCTTTATAGATATAGAATAGGCGGCTAGTAACTTCTTACTCGTGTAGTGAGAAAAACCTTCTTTTCTTCATGGCCTCCTTTATTTAGATTTAGTTCAATCACGAGTTTAAGGTTTGCGATAGATGTTGCCTTTCCTGGATAAACGATCTCAAATCGGCTTTTTTATTTAAGCAGATCTGTGAAAATTTTCGGTTTTTTTAAGTCATTTGTCCCTGGCATCTTATCTTCCGGTTGGAAACGGCCCGTTCTGGTTTCAGAACGGTCCGTTCTGGGGTACGATTTTAGCCAATCTTTAGGAGACTGGAACGGCCCGTTCCAGTTGGAATGACCGTTCCAATTTGGGTTTTTTGGCCCCTTTAAAAGACTTAGAACGGCCCGTTCTGGACCTTGGAACGGCCCGTTCTGGGCCAAGAAAATTTTTGGGCCTTTTAAAGCCCTGTCTTCTTGTTTGCATGCTTCAGGAGCTCCTTCCCTTCACAACAGAGGTCCCTGTCCTTGTTTGTATGCCCCCGGACGAAATTGGGTGTCTACAGCTGCCCCTTTTTACTTGTCCTTTGGAATAGTAATGTGTTGCTTTTCCAAAGGCAAGGAAAGACGTAGACATTTCGTCCAGGTTTTCTCTTCGTCTCTTTGGTGATTCTGCATCGTTTCCCTTGTGATGGTGAGGTGAAAATTCGGATCTTCACTCTTGTTTTGACGATAGATTCCTTCACGTTGTTTCCTTCAGGTAGACGGTGTTCCCTATATCCTTGCCCCATGAAGCAACTGAGTGTTGGATTGTATGCTCTATGAGGTGTCAAGGATGGTGAACCGAAACATCTAGGCTTCAAGATCCATGTGAATGCCCTATGTCGTTTGCTATGTCTGAATCTTCTCCCTGTTGGAAGTTGCAACATCCATAGCTATGCTATTACGAACTTTCTTTGATTTGAATTTGATGAAGAAGACACTTATTGAGCCTC